GGAGTGTTCGGCGCGAAATCCGAACTGTTCGTCGCGTGGCTGAAGGTGTGGTGTCATGTGCAGCAGTAGCAATTTCTCGAACAACTTCGACGTCGTTGAGAGGAGAGTAATGGGGCCGTGGAGTAATTCCCGGTAAGAGGATACTCTTCCCCGGCTTGGGCAGCATGATGACTCTGCCAAGTCGCCATGCGGTGGGAAAGTGTCCGGTGCGAAGGATGCCGTTGAAGAGACGCGTCAGCGTCGCGATTGCTCGCGGAGGTAGGTGACGCAGGGCTTCATTGGTAACCCGGTCGGGACCGGGCGCTTTACGAAGAGGCGTTTGGTGAATCAGCCGCTGGATTTGACCAGGGGAGATGATGACAGGGTCCTCAGTCGGGGCTATCGGCTGCTCAAAGTACAACTCGAGCTTCCTCTCGACCTCTGCCACGTGCTGTACATTGTGGGCAGGATTCGGTCGGAACTGCGCTTCCAGGAAGTCGGCGAACATCTCCGCTCGGTCCTCGGCACGGTAGCGTGGGGTGCCGTCACCGGCCATCAGGGGCCTAATCGGAGCTGGTTTCCCGGAAAGTTGGCGACACAGGCGGTGTATGCCCGACCAATCCTCACTAGCTCGCTCAATAGTGCGTTGCCAGGACTCTGTCGCGTTTGTTGCCAGCGCGGCAGAGACCCTCGCAGCCAGAGCATTGAGCTGGGACTTCATGGTCAGACATCGGACGCGCTGCCATTGTCGGCGCAGTCTCCTCTTCCTCTCGATCATCACCAGGATGTAGGCGGGGAGCTGGAAAGGCTTCCTTCCGGTAGTGGCATCGAGCTTCGACTCTCGAAGCGCGGTCTGTAGGACCGCGCTGAGATCCGTCGTTAGCTTTTCGACGTCGTTGGGTGTCTCCACTGGGAAGGAGGGCGAGTGCTCTGCCATATAATCGGCGAAGACCCGTCAGTCTTGGCGTGAACGAGGAGATAGTTGGAAAGTTTGGGGGATGTCATCTAGAGTCAGACACACCGGCTGGTGGTCTGAGATGAGGTGATCGTCCTGGACGTCAAGATACACAGCCGCGTCGATGCCGCGGATGACGGCTATATCTATGACGTCCGGTGTATGGGCTACGCAGTACGGGTAGTGTGTCGGAACCTCTGGTCCTAGCACCTGGTACTCGTTGCGGTCTGCATCATCTAGAAGGCGGCGGCCTTCTGGGCATATGATATTTGAGTTCCACGCCGTGTGTTTCGCATTAAAGTCGCCGGCGATATTGTAGGTAGCGCCGAGTCTAGCAGGGTGTGTATGTCAGCCACTGCGAGGCGCTGCCCCGGCGGCCTGTAGAATGCGAAAACACGGGTAGGTTGGCTTCCGATGCAGACCTCTACGCCCAGGGCGTACGCAGACTGCAATGTCGGTACTGGTAGTGCTTGGTGGACGACTTTCCTCTTGACCAGGACTGCTAATCCCCTGTAGGCAGTCCCTCTTGGCGAGCGTTGGTCCTCCCGGTAGACATAGTATCCACCCATTTTGAAGTTGTCTACTGGTCTGAGGTGGGTCTCGCTGAGCAGGGCTATATCCACTTGCTGCTTTGCCAGCAGCAATTTCAGTAGCCTGGTCTTCTCTGGTGACATCCCGTCGGCGTTCCAGAACAGTATGTGTAGCCTACGCAAATCCAGATTTACACAACTGTGCAAGGCAGTCGAGGATCAGTGGGACAGGGTCGCGCTTTTCCAGTAGCGCTACCAGTACCTTTTGTAAGGTACCGATGACGCTGGTAAGTCTGGGGTCCAGGTTTACCGTTGCCGGTTTGGGGACCAGCTGCGGTTGGACAGTCCGCTTCGCCTTCGTCCCCTCTAGTGGGGCAGCGACCACGGTGACCTTCTGGACATCATTGCGAGGCGCATTTGCCTGTTCGGCAAGCATCTTCGCCTTCTTTTTTCGTCGTCTCTTGCGACGCGCGCTCTCCTGCGGCGGATTGGCTGCTGCCATGAGCGAGGCGGGAGCGTTGCCGTCCTCGACGGTGGTGGGCTTTTCTATGTGCGGTGTGGCTGCTGATGTTCGTGCAATTGTGCCAGCCTTCCGGTTCCGGATTTCCCGTTTGAAAACAGGACAGGCGGCACTGTTTGCGGTGTGCGCTCCTCCGCAGTTCGCACATGTAGGCGGCTCTTCCAGAGGGCGTGGGCAGTCGCGGGCGGTATGAGCTTCGCCGCAGCGTACACAGGAGAGTGGCCTGTGGCAATTGTGTGATGAGTGCCGAAATTGCTGGCACCTATGACATTGCGCGGGCCCCTTCTTTCCGCGCCATGCTTCTATGCGCACGCCGGGCATGCATAGAAGTTCCTTTACTTCATAAATGGCCGGCGTAAGGTCTGCGGTGCGCGCTAGCTGCGCGAAATATAGGCATCCGGGACGGTCCTGTCGGGCATGGATGGGGCGCACGAACTCGGGTGTGAACCCAAGTTCGGTGAGCTCTGCCTGGATCTCTTCTGATGGAGTATTCACTGGGAGACCACGGATGGCCACCTTAAGGCTGCGTTCCGCGGGGAGGGAGTAAGAGAACCAGGAGATCTTCTCCTTTGTCTCCAGCGAGTACAGGTACCGTTGGATGGTGCGGTACTCCTGGTCCGACTTCGGAATGAATCGCAATCCCTTCCGAATGGGCGCCCGTTAGGTGCGTGCCCAAGTAGTTTTTTCAGCTCCCGGAAGTGTGTCGGCCAATCCGGGAGTGTCTCGACTACTAAGGGCGTTTAGCGGGTGGTTGGCTGTTTCTTGCCAGCAGCGGGAGCAGCGGCAGGTGCAACGCCGGGGGCAGCGTCAAGGCCAGCAGCAGGTGCATCAGGGGGAGCAACAGGTGCATCAGGGGGAGCAGCAGGGATAGTTGGGGGGCCGCCGCGCGCGGTGGCGAGTGCACCAGCGACAGTGGCGTAGGAGGGCCCCACAACTTCCATAGGCGACTCTTTACTGGTCGCTGGTAGTCCAAACGGCGGTGTAGTAAAAAGTGCTCGTCGTTTCTCCTCTTGTGGTGGCGATGGGAACCGGTCCGGCACAATAGTGGCGTGTGGACCAGGGAAGCGTGGCGGGGGGGGCTGCCGTCTTCTTCGGCCTTTGCGGCATTGGGCGTGTCATCTCTGTGAGGGCAGAGGCAGGTGGTGTAGCAGCAGAGGCAGGTGGTGTAGCAGCAGAGGCAGGTGCAGTAGCGGGTGCGGCAGTCGGCTGATCTAACGCAGGCCTGGATAGGTTACCGGTCGACGGACCGGGTGTTGGAGGTGAAGACGGTCGTGAGAACGAGGAGAGGGTAAAAAATTCCTCCCCTGCTCCCGGTGTCGGAGTTAAAGCAGCACTCGGCGGTGTACTCGACCGAGCACTTGGCTAGTGGCTGTGGCATGGAGGTGGCATGCCAGATTTTGTCTTCGTTTATTGTTTTATAAACACTACATTGCTGTTTGGCGGCTTCGCGTTGCGCTCCACGACCAGCACTCTTCGGCACAAGGTACCCACTGAGCCGGCCCACCGGGGCTTGCCGCTGGGGGCAGACCGGGGGCCGAGGACGGCAGTGTACCCTGCGGTATCCGAAGGGACTGATGTGTGCGCGGTGTAAACAAATAAATAGCTAGCGCGCCAACCGTGGTCGTTCGGCGTTCAATACGCCGGGTTGTTGTTATCACCCCGCTCGGAACACGGAGCGGATGACGCCTGTACCGGGCGAAGTGGCGTAACGAGCACGAACGGTGAGAGATCGGCGAAACGTGCGTCCTTCACAACAGCGCGTAGCGGACTCAAAAAATTGCCAGTGATTTTATATTTCTTAAAAATAGATGTAGTAGTGACATCTATGGTCAGGTTTTAGTAGTTTGTTTGCAAATAAAAGTACAGAGAGTAGTACCTATTAGCGTTACCTCTTTAAGGCGTCCATAAAAATAATCAAGTACAATAAGTTTCTCAAACGCCAGATGGCGCTGATAGACAATACTTAATGTAATTTAATTAAAATTTGTACAGAAAGATTAAACTTTCTAATAACATGTTTTTGTATATAGTTACATTATGATTTCCTTAAATTTAGACGTACATAAAAATAACCAAAGTACAATAACTTTCTCAAACGCCAGATGGCGCTAATAGACAATAGTTTTTCGTAATTTAATTAAAATTTGTATAGAAAGATTAAACTTACTATTAACATGTTTTTTGTATATAGTTACTTATAATATCCTTAATTGAATTCATGGTTAAAAAATTTACACTATCCAAAAAATGAACGCTGTAATAACCCTCCGTGTCTAAAAACATAGAAATGTCAAGTCAGTATTACCAGAGGTAAAGATTCTCCCTATCTCTTGATTTTTTTCTGCGTTCGTTTGTTTAATATAACAATAATTTATTGATCAAGAACTTTAAATAATATTAGATGGTATAAGATTAGATTACTTGAAACAAACCCTATACCCAACCCGTTTGGCCAGCGTGGTATAGTAGGCCAAAACCTTTTTTCTGAGGAGACGCTTATGTCCAGCAGTGGACTATTATAGGCTGTTGATGATGATTGATGAAGATTAGATAGTATCCAGAACAATACTTATTCTAAAGAAAACTTAGAAAAATTCTTACTTATCAAAAAGATACGTGTAAAAATTGAATAATTGAAACTTAAAACATCTTTTCATTTCGAGTACTTCTTGTAGCTTATAAGCTTTATAACAACAACACACAACAGTATATTCTTAAATACCGCGAGTTTTTCACGGCTTAACCGCATTAGGACCCATAATTTATATTTTTTTAAGTGACGTGATTAGAAATATAAAAACTTCCTAATAATAAATATTACAAAATCATAGCAGGGGAATCTTTGAAAAGTACTGAAATTGTCAAAGCAACTTCAGCACTGTTTTCTTTAACTAAAACCAGGGTAGTCCATTTCTTTATTGTGACAACCCCAAATTTAGTACCGTATGAAACTACGCGACGTCGAAACTGCTTTACGTCCGCGCTAATAAAACTCGTTGAAAATGCATACATCAAAATGGTAGAATCCCTACAAATGTTTTTATTTCTATTTAAATCTAAATACAGACGAAAATGCTCGTGGTTCTCACCATTCTTGTGTTCAGTGCTCATAGTGTTATTGTTCTGTGATGGTGTTCTGTCTAAGTGTAGTGATCATGACTGTATAAACGGTGTTTGTAAAAATGATATATGCGTGTGCTTCGAAGGGTGGCAGGGTCCAGAGTGTCAGTACTGCGGCGGGAAAGTCAAGTGAGTGTCTTTTGTGGGTCCGTGATCCTTATAATACTGTTAGTTTTGTTTAGTTCACTGACCTCTTTCTGAGGCGCGCCTTATAGACAAGCTAGTAGAATTTGCAAGAGAAAGCCTGCGAGGATTATCCAATTATACACTTTGGCTTCTTTCCTTCATCCTGAGTGTGGCCCCGAAGGTCGTAGGTCGTCGTTACGAAACTAAAAAGTATTGTTATTGAATGGTATCTGTAATTGGTACAACAATATAGACCTGCCTATTATAGGGAATTCAAAAGGACAATTCAGGGGCAAATTAAAGATCTGGGGGTCTGAAGATATTTTTGTTTGTCCAAGTTAAATTGCTTAGGTTATATTATTTTTACTGTTGTATGAAATGATTCATGTTGGTTAGCTATTCTTTATTTAGGCAGCTTAATCAGCTGATTGGTTAGCTTTTAAGAGGTTATTGTTCAACTGCCAATAATGCCTCTTAATATATATTTATGGTTTCTATTAAGGTATTTAATTTATTTAATTATACACAATCTGTGTTTGGGGATGTTGTACGTTACTGTAATTATAATTAAATAAACATTACAACTGGCTAGTTATAGCTTCAGATCTGTGTGTTAAGGAAAACTAAGGCTTTTGTGCTGTAATTGTCTAGCGGCTATCATATAACTAAAATGTGGCAATTTTGATTGAACAACTCGTATACACTTTATTAATATGTACCTATAGTTATTTACAGATATGCTTGAAATGATTAAAATACTGCTTAAGCTGTTCTTATCAGACTTAGGAGTAATGTAAACGATGGGTGATAAGAAACCCAAACTCATAAAGATTTGTGAAAAAGGTGTTTATGTATTTACATGAGTATTATAATATCATTATGCACTTGTATGTATATAAAGTGCTAGAGTAGAGCTTGAGGCTGGAGGTTGCGGAAATTGATTCCCACCCAGGACAAATATATTGTGTGACGAGCACAAATTTTTGTTCTGTGTCTGGATATAATTTATTTATAATATGTATGTATTTAGAAACATATAAGTATGTTTATCAGCAGCTGGTTACCATAGTACAGGTTCCGCCTAGTTTGGGAACAGACTGCCGTGTGTGAGATGTGTAACGATATAATTAAGTATCTGAGACAAAATTATTTGATATCTAGTAACTGATGATGAGGTAGATAGTAACTGAGGAAAATAATATATATAACTTGCTAAATACAGTTAATAATTAAAATGTTTTTAATTCTAATTTTATGACAACAATTTTGATTATGTTTTTAAAAGTCTAGGTAAACACATTCCTAGTAGTTCATATTTTTGTTTTATCACTATTCAAATTTTATTATGAACTTAAAGAATGTGTGACAAATAAATAATATTAGTATTAAGTTTATTGATACCAAAAACCGTTATACACACAATTTTGTAACCTATACATAACTGTACATTAACTTGATGATTTTAAATTCCATGATCTTTAATGTCAAAACTAGGTCTATTTAAAATTGAGAAAAATATTTAATTACACAAAGATAACATAAAGAGATAAAATACTGTTTCAAAAGTTCAAATCTAAACCTACAAGTCCAGATAGGTTTGACATACTTGCATATTTACTTAAAACAATTTCAATATACTCTATACTCTGTTTTTAAGCTTTAAACCATAGACACATGCGAAATTTAGAATGCTCAAAACGTAAAAAGAATATGCCAGAACTTCGATTAAATTTAAATTGCCGATTTCTAATCAAATGCATGTGAAACTGGAAGAACTGGGTTGTATTGCTTATCTTTGCATTTAATACTAGTCTCCCTGTAATTTCACCTTATTTATTTTAAACCCATAACATCAAGTCATACTGCTGATTTATGAAGGAATGAACAATGCTCGTCTAAGAAAAATTGCCTATTGGAAAGAATTCCAAACATACTATTTATTCCTCTATAGATATTATGTTTATATAAGAAAAACTACATACCATGTGTTAACATGCACTAGAAATAGAATATGTTTTCCTGAATTGTTTTACAAAAATGTGACTTTTGACTTTTGAGCATAATATAGTATAATTTCTCTTTTGTTGTTGTTATTACTGAGTAGTACTGTTCTGACAAGTTCTTTTCAGCTTATTGATAGGATACTCAGCCGACTTTGGTGACAAACCTTGAATGCCTGTTGTATCTCCAGGTATTCTAGTTTGGTTTTCATTTTTAATTTTTTTGGTCTTAACTTATAAACTTAATGTAAATACATGTGCTTCAGTAGAATGTTACAAAAATGTATTTTTTTGTAAGACCTTCCACATTTGGAATATATCCTGTGTCGCGGGGAACTTAACAAACATACATAAAACGGACACAAGGAACACCCAGACTCAGAACAACAATTTATTGATCACACAAAGTGCCATGCCATGTGGGGATTGAACCTGCAACGCTTAATTTAGTACTAACACAACCATGAAGTAAAGTATTTCTTTTAGAATAAGGGTCAAACAAAGAGAGGGGTAAATGACTACCTAGGAATGAATGATATTTTCAGGAGAAAAAAAAATAGAAGTAGGTATAGGTGTACATATGTGTATTCACCAATTTTTTTATTGCCAACATTGGGTTGGCAGACGAGTAAGTTGTCTACCTGATGGACAGCATAGCCACTGTCTACCGCTGTCTTAATAAGCTGTAAATTATCTGGTTGAGTCTGATAAAGTAGAGCAAATTGTTTCAGTTCTTACGTTAACTAGATAATTAATTAGGAGTTATTATTGTTGATTAAGAATATTTTTGACGAATATATATAGTGTTGATTATTTTTTTCCTTTGTTTTAATTATATGCACCACTTTTACACACTACAGTATCATTTTCCTAAATAGATTTCATTTAGGAAAATGTGTGTGAATCGCTATGACATTTTTTAGAGAAATTTTATTTTACTAGGTGCAAATCAACCACTAAAAAAGTATTATCGTTTGTCGTTTCGCAAAAAATGTGCAAACAAATTTGTTGGAATCGAACACTATGCCTTGGTAACCCTTGGTATTCTGTATTGTAAAATAGTACAATACAGTATTCTGTATTGTACTATTAACCAAGGGTAACTTTGTGTTTTTCCTCTATCTGCTATTTGTATGGAATCATTTGTGTAGACAGTTTGGTATTGGCCCCCGATTGCCGCATTTAGACTCAAGAATGGTCCTTTGCATCGAAAGTCCGTTAGTTAAGTGACCCAACTAAGCTCCTTCCAGAAGCGCAGAAGCCTCCTAGGGCGTACACAGGGTTTTAGGAGCGATTTTGTATCAGGTATGATACTTTCCCGTTGTGTGGCCACTCCCTCGCATTCTAGGATTACGTGGGCGGCCCGTTTCTTCTGCTTTTAGACATCGCTGGAATACTACATATGTAGACACTTTTGTTGTTGTCTGTCTGAGTTCAAGGCCCTGTTTTATACTAAAACAGGATTTAAATCCCAGATTAGGCTTATCTGAATATCAAATATCATGTGAATTTTGTCATCAGCACACTTGGCTGCAGGTTTTAAATAGAGATCACCAGGCCGTGAACCAAATGTAATGCTATATATGGCAATGACACTCCTTTGTGAGTGCAATTATTACATTGTTATTTTAATTACATTAAGAATTAATTTTAGGACCATGTCATTTATGTATCAAATGATGTTGTTTTTTTTATGTTAGAGGGGGGCAGACGAGCAGACGGATCACCTGATGGAAAGTGACCATCGCCACCCATGAACGTCTGCAACTCAGGAGTCACAAACGCGTTGCCGTTCTTTAGTAAGGAATACGCTCTTTTCATGAAGGTTTGAAGTTCGTATCGGTCCGGAAATACAGCAGACGATAACCCGTTCCACAGATTAGTTGTGCGGGGCAAAAAGTGTCCCGATAAGCGCACAGTAGTGGAGCGCCAACTAACCAGATAATGAGGATGAAAATTTTGCCTCACAAATCCTCGGAGCACTCTTTGGAAGGAAAACTATGGCTAAGTTAGCTGAGGTAGTGAAGAAGGATGAAGTTGTCACATGTTTAGTAAAAACTATTATAATAAATGGAAACCTATACTGTATGTGGCCCGAAATGCACTTGGCCAAGTTTTTAAATTTAAAACTAAATATTCTGTAGATACCTAAATGTGTGTGGTATAATGCATCATACCTTGCCGTAGTTAAACACTTTTAATGATCGGTTTTATATTTTAAATACTAATGGTTAATTTTTCAGTCACAGTTAAGTAATAACTAATTTTATGAAGACTGTTAAATTTATTATTTTAACCTGTCAAAGTAAGTTAAAAATAAGTAAGTCAAGTATTAAGTAATGATTGGCGGAAGATTGCGATTCTCGATCCCCCGGCCATTGGCAAGGAGAGTGCCTCCACTGCGGTGGTTTTTAGTCGGTAAGAGTCCGACAGACCCCCTCACCATCCCATGAGCGAAGGACATACATGAGGATCAACAAAAAAAAGTATTAAGTAATGATAGTAGTTTTGCAGATGAAGGAATGGGAATTACCTTATGTTGAGAGTCACTATTTTCATTCCCAATCTATCAAACTTTTTGATGTTTTGCACATCAGAAATTAAATTTTCACAGAAATTGTGAGTCGTATTATTATATCTGTGCATATTCTTATCTGTCTACTACTCATCATATCAAGAGTAGCAAGTGCAATAGGATTACCATATTTTTGTTTTACCACCTCTGACAGTGCAATATTAAATAACAAAAAAAATTTTATACCTATGTAATATCAGTTCTAGTGACTAGGTCAGGTAGAGGTCTAGGTCTAGGTAAATGTTAAATTGTATGACTAATTGTTATAGGTACACTGTAGGATGACCACAAATGGTTACAAATGCTTAGAAATGAATATTCTTGCTAGCAAGAAATAAAATAAACTTTTCATCCTTAATTTCTGTGAAGTTTTCTCTAAAAACTTTTTAATCTTTTTATGCAGTCTTCTTAAAGAAAAAACTTAGCTC